TTCTCTGAGTGCCATGGGAGCCACCGCAGGCTCTGAGTAAGGGGTGATGTGCTCTGACTTAACGAGAACCGAGAGAGAGGCAAATGCAACACAGAGGCTGTAATTTAAAAGGAACATATTGAATCAATTTAATGAACTTAAGAGCTCATGAATTAGGTTACAAGTTGAAGTAGAGTCATGCATCGCTTAACGATGGGGATACATTCTAAGAAATGTGTCGTTCAGCGATTTTGTCGTTGCGTGAACAGCATGGAGTGTACTTGCACGCACCTAGATGGTATAGCCCGCTCCACACCTGGGGTCCATGGTACTGATCTTATGGGACCACTGTTGTATATGTGGCCCATCTTTGACCAAAACGTCACTATGTGGCACTTGACTATAAAAGTAGGACCAATGCCCCCTTTTCAGCCACCGAGCACTTCATTTAGGTTTCTGTGCAAGTATCACCTCCTCCAGAGGTTCTCCATGATGGCATTTATCTAAAATCACCACTCCCCCTGACTTCACCTTTCTACCCGGCCGCTTTGTCTTTCTTCATAGTGCTTATCATTCCTTGACAACTGATCTCATGCTCATTAATTATTTCCTGTTGCCTTTAGTAGAAGGCAGCCTCTGAAAAGGTGAGGATTTTGCTCTCGTGGTTATCTCTGTAGCTCAACACCTAGGGGCCCGCCTGGCACAAAGGGGGTGCTCGGGACCAACTCGTTGAATGAACGAACGAACGAACGTTCAGGAGTCAAGGAGAACCCTTAAGTTCTAATTCAAACAAAGAGGCCATGAGATGGGGGAATAAACAATTAAAAATAAACTATCAAATCACAGATTGTTTTCCACCATGAGTTGGTTCAAGGTTTTTACTCTTTAGGGTGACAACGGCTCATCTTAATGTTTACCCTGTGTTCTTCACACAACTGTGATGACCAGATTGTGGAAAACGGGAGAAAAATGATTTACAATTTTATGTCCCTCGTGTACCAGGATCAATGTAATTTAAAAATTTCTTCCTATGTAGTTTCAAAGTTTGCCATGCTCTTCCATGGCCTCAATATATCCAGAGATCAAACAGTTTTCCCTCATGGTTAAACTTTTATCTAAAGTTCCTTCCGGACTCTGTGATTCTAGATGGAAGCCAATAAAAAACACAAGCCAGCGAGCAGCTGATGGTTTTTATTTCTAACATATTCTGTTGTACGAAGGATTCCCGAGCTAATTCCTGTAGAGATTTGAGATAATTTCCCCTCTTCGATCTAGGCTCTCATTTTGCCTGATCTGAATTTATTCATCAGTTTGGGATTTTAACCTGCTTTAACAAAAACACGAAGAATTTTGAGGAGAACTGTTCGAGTAATAAAACCTCATTAATTCTGAGTTCCCCTAACCAAATAGCTACAAATCTCAAATCACTACAGTTTATTTTTATACAATCTGTGAACAAGTGGGGCATTACTAAGCAAAATCAATAACGCAAAGAAGTTTGAAGAGAAAAGCTTTCCTACTAAAGATAAACGCTTTCCGCCACATGAGCAATATCGTGGGCAAAACAGTATAACCGCAGAGTACCAGAGGCCGGCCCTCGCAGGCTGCACGCTGGCCGACGGCAGCTGTCAGGGACCACGCATCTCTGGGGGGAAACTATTTTGCTGCCAGGAGACTAGAGTCATGGGTGTTACACAACACAGGAGGCGATGCAAAATGAGTAACTGCCAGTCAGGCAACATGGAACAATCCCTCCAAGTCGATGAGATTTATCTTGGAAACAAACAACCGGAAAAACGAACGATTAAAACTCTCTTTGCCACTTGCTGCTCGCTCAGGTTGTGGCAATAAAATTTTATTTGTTTTACCCACCAGAATTCCAGAGACAGCAGGGTGAACGGTGTGGTAGAAAGGGAAGAAGGAGCGACAGGAAAACAACACGTTTAGAGGCTAAGGGGAGGCGGGATGACGGTGTGAGAAGAGACTTGAGTCAGGCCAGCGGGCTGGGTTTTTGCTGGCCACCCAAATGTGTAAGACCATTTTAGGGGGCTGCAGATCGCTGCACCTCAGATATAAAGGGACAATGATGTCCTTTCCTAAATCTTGGGCCTGCTGACCTACGGTAAGGCACGCAAAGGGTTTCAAAAAATGTAAAGGATGATGAAGACGATGATGACAAGACTGCTACTACAAATGGTATGTTAATGACTTCTTGAGAATTTACGGGATGACAGTCACTATTCTACTTTACATGCTATTATGGACTGAACTGTGTCACAACCATCCCCCCCACAAATTCCTATGTTGAAGCCCAAACCCCCAGCGTGACTGTATCTGGAGAGAGGGCTTTGAAAGAGGTCATAAGCAGGGACCCTGATCCAGTAAGAGTGAGGTCCTTCTAAGAAGAGGAAGAGAAACCAGGAGCGAGCCTGCACAGAGAAAAGGCCATGAGAGGACACAGCGAGAAGGCCGCCAACTACAAGCCAAAGAGAGAGGCCTCACAGAAGCCAGCCCTGCTCGTACCTTGATCTTGGACTTCCAGCCTCCAGAACTGTGAGGAAAGAAATTTCTGTGGTTTGAGCCACTCAGCCTGTGGTATTTTCTCACTGCAGCCCTAGCAAATTAACCCACGTATGTTAGCTCATGTAACCCTCCTTACTACAATATTATCCATACTTTCAGATACAGAAATAGAAGCAGAGAGACGTTAACCAACTTGACTAAAGTTGCACTGCTAGTCAGGAGGCAGTAGTGGAACTGAATCGAATCCAAGTAATATGATTCCAGGGCTCACGTTCCTAACAACTGTTAAAATATAATAGGAGGTAATACAATTAATATCCACAGTGACACAAAATGGATGCTTTTATCAGAAAAACCCACAGCAAATACAAACTTCTACATGCACTATGTGCAACGGACTTCTACTTTTAGTCCCTCTTTTCTTCTCCTTTTCCGGTCACCCAACAGTAAATATTCTTGGGGGCCTTATCTATCTCAGGCGTTATCTGAGGCTTGGGGCATCTGGCAGTACGTCTGTGAGGTCCGTGTTCTCCTGGTGTTTGGTGCTAGTGATGAAAGCCAGCCAACAACCAAAGAGGAGAGAGGAGACAGTGATAAGTGCACAGACAAAAATAAAACAGGAAGTTGTGCTGACAGGAGGAGGCTAGACTGGTCCCTTTCTTTACAGCCAGTTACTGAGTGCACGCCATGAAACACCTGTGAACAGGACATAGCGCTCACTCTCGGGGACTCCCAATGCTGGCGTGGTGCTGGCAGGCCCCAGCCTCAGTGGCCCCTTGTTTCTTTCTCTGTGACATGAGGCTTTTGTTCTAACAGTCTATCACTTCTTTGATTAAGTCAGGAAGTTAGTTAGGCAATACTGACCTTAACCCAGCTACCAGGTGTCATGGAAATAACAAACGAGAGAGTAAAATGTATTCTCTAGAGTATTTCTGAAGTTCCACAGAGTGCAATATAAAGGTTGTAGGAAGAAAGGGGGAGGGGAAGGATTATTTAACTGCATCTGAACAGGCTTTAGCTGTGACAGTAGTATTTATTTAAACACTTGCATGCTCATGATGTAATGTCAGACACCTCCTGGGAGCGAATATGAAGAAAGGAGCTTGTGACGAGGCATGAGACTTAAGGTTGACAAGAGAAGGGGTTTGAGGGGGTTGTACAGAAAGCAAGACATTGGAGAAAAGTGACAACATTATGAAGTCTTTTTCCCTGGAAAGCTCAACCCACCAAAGAAGTTGTATTTCAGTACGGCCTTCTGCAGAAGTGGAAGGATCAAGGGGCTCGCCACATGGGTCCCTTGGCCGGAGGAGGCTCTGATAATTACAGAAGGTCATCTGAAACGGCAGAGCTTCACACCTGCTTCCAGCAGCCCTTGCCACAAGGGCAGCACGAGCGCGTCCCAGCTCTACCTGCAGCATTTCAGGGTGGCAATTGGTGCTAAGAGAAAATTCTCCAAAAGTGCCATCAGGAGGCCCCATGACAGGAAGGGATGAGGCGAAAGGTACCAGAGAAATAAGGACCAACTCACGTTGCAAGAGTGGAATCAGAGAGAAGCTGTGAGGCTAGAAACAGCCTGCCTTTTTGAACTGGAACAGAAACTGCGCCTGTGGAAGACCTACACAAACAAACATGGCGAACGGACTGTGCTGTTGGAATTACAGGGTCACTGGGACTATCAGGGTGGAGCTTTAAAGTAGAATACGGGATTTAATAATCTGGCCCACCAAATCCAGCCCCAAACAACGTGAAGACCTGAAAGAGACAATGACTCTTGATGACTGTGACAACGCTGGGAGCAGCACTCCGTCATTTCACTCAAAGCCTTACCAGGGAGAGCGTGGTTCTCAGGGGAAACGGAGAGAGCGAGTACAATTTAAAATAGCAAAGCTCTTCGAAAAGAGGAGTGAAGACGATTTAATATACTGTGTAAACCACTTACACATTCATATTCAAAGGCAGTAATTCAATAAGCAAAAGACACACAGTATTCATGGGCAAACACTTGTGGACACCCTCACAGAGCATCTGAATCTCTGTAAATATTATCATTTGAAATATCCTTTGTGTGCAGTTATATGTTATAGTTTTCCCCACTCTGATTTCTCCTATCATGGGTAGACGGACTGCCAAAAAAAAAAAAAAAAATCTGTTAGGGAAATTCTAGATGCTTGTGGATTTTTAACATTTGTCTTGGGAACCCCCAGTGCCTGAAAGAGCTAAGCAGTTAAATTCCCCCCAGCTGTGTGTACTCGAACACCGACAGGCTCCCACCACCACCTACATCATTCCTGGAGCCACATCATTTTTCTCTCCTCTTATGTGATACTGATAGCTTTAGCACTATCTGTTACGTGCTCTTGTCTCTCCAGGATTGTCTGGAGTTTTGAAGGTTCAAACTTGGATAAAACGATGCAAAAAACTGAATCTAACTCCAGGAAATACACACAGTTTCCACGCACGGCTTCCCGGCCCATGGAGGGTGGGGCAGTCCTCCTTACCTTTATCATAGATTTCCTTCAAGACCCCTCGCTTTATCAGCTCCTCTCTGCTTTGCCTCATGGATATTTTCCTCTCCAGGGCTACAAGCAAAACACAAATAGAGAAGCAGGTGTCAGTAGGTAAAGACATTGTCTTCTAAAGGCTTATATTGTAATATGTATTAAAATGTAAAGCATATGAAAGCTTCTGTAAATTATACTTTAATAGTGTAAGTTAATGATACTAGTTAACATCTTTTGATGCTGTGAGAAGCATTTTAATCAGATTATTTAATTTAATCTTCAAGACAATCTTCAAATTACCTGTGAGGTAGCCATTTTTATTTCCCTTTATTTAACCCAATTTCTGTAGCACAGATAACAACTTGTCAGAGTCACAAGCCGATTGAGAAGAGGCACCAGGATTCAAAGCCAGAAATGCCACCTCTGAGCTCGGCTTAACCTCTGCGTCATATTGCATTTTCCTGAGTGGCAGTGCCTCATAATGGGAATTCTCTTTTTCATGATCTAGTTCATACAGATCCTGTTTCACTGAGGATTGTTTTGCTTTCCAACTATAAAAAAATGGCATGAAAATATTGTCTACAAAGCTCTGGGATTGGTATCCCAGAAGAGACAGGGGGTAGGGGCAGACCTCCCGGGGCAGCCCACCCACTGCTCTGCTCTCTGAGGCTCCCAGGTGGGGGATGAACTACTCAGTTCCCAGATGCACCCCCAGGCCCCTCCCCTGAGCTGAATGCTCAGGCAGGTGGGGGCTGGAGGAGGGGAGGGGAGCCTTCCCTCTGGACCAGTGGGCCTGATGGAGGGCAATTCGCGTGGAAATGGAGCCCAGGAGTGAAGAAGTGAGGGGCAGCACAGAAGGGCAGGCCTGTGGCTCAAGGAGGAGGGGGTGGATCCTGTGGACCCAAGCAAGTGACTTCAGCAGCTGACATTCCACCTTCCGGGGAAATAACGGAGTGGAGGAGGTGAGAGGTTACTTCAGTTGCTTTTGTCAGCCTGAGAATTTCCACATCCTTTGGGTACAGTTCTTCAGGAAGGAAAAAGGCTGTTATAAATTAAGGAAACCATTTTATGCAGACAAATTCAGATACAGATTAATTAAACACACACATACACATACACCCTTCAGTGGAATTTAGTTCAAAAAATATGAATAAGAACTAGAAAGAAAGCAAGGAAATAGGCATTGTGATTTTTAACTCTCTTACCCACTAGCCATGTGGCCTTAGTCAAGTCACTTTGCCCATCTGAGAAGACACTGATGCCTCAGCCCCAGCTACTCCGATTTAATAGGTCCAGGGTGACACCTGGACATCTATATGGTAATAAAAAGCTCTCTGGATTATTCTCAGGCATCACAAGGCTGAAAATTACTGGTTATATATTTTGTAACTTACTCTTTTAAAAATGTTATATTCTAGGGGCTGGCCTGGTGGCATAGCGGTTGTTTGTGCGCTCTGCTTGGGCAGCCCAGGATTCGCCAGTTTGGATCCTGGGCCTGGACCTATGCACCACTTATCAAGCCATGCTGTGGCAAGTGTCCCACATATAAAATAGAGGAAGACGGGCATGGATATTGGCTCAGGGCCAATCTTCCTCAGCAAAAAGATGAGGATTGGTGGCAGATGTTAGCTCAGGGCTAATCTTACACACACACACACAAAAAGTTATATTCTAAATACCTCTCTTAAATTATGATGAATTAAGTGGTATGAGACAAAAAAATCAATGTTAGGTTAGGCGGCACTCCCATATAGCTTACTGAGAACATATTGATAATAAAATAGACACATCTAAACATATGCCCATAGAAGTGGGAGAAGGAGGGGTGGATAGAAGGACAAGGGTTAAAGGTGGGTATAGGAACCACCGAAGCAGTGTTTGTTTTGGGGGCGAAGGAGGTTTGTGACTCAGACCAAATGACATGATGTGGACGTCCTCTATGCAGAAGAGGAACGCCCAGAGAGGGAAGAAAACTGCGTGCAGTTAGGTTAGAAAGTTCTGCCTGATTTTTAAAAAGATTTGCTTAGTAGCCCAGTGGGAAGAGACTGGACAGACAAGGTGGAGCAGGGGTTTTTAAGAAAGGAATTTATTAACATCTTTTGAGTGACATAAAGCCCCCCCAAAAGCATAAAGAGGTGCTTTGCCATCCTATATCGAACCACATAAACTGAACAGACTTCTCTCAAACAAAATGAGGCTTCCCAGGAGATTTTCAAAAGCAGAGAAGAAAGTGGATGAGCCTGATCCACAGCACTAGGGGGACTATCTGGAACGAGGGGGTGGATCCTGGACGTGGAGGCCCTGGAGGTCTGAGACGGCGAGTATCAGTGGAGCGTGGATCCACTCAGGCCAACCGCCTGGCCACCGGGACCTCAGCTGTCTCCCCACACTCCTTCGACAGCCATGGGCCCTCTGTGCACGGTGAAAGGAGATCTCTCAGGGGCTGGAGATGTGGTGAGCAAAGGAACAGTCCCTGCCCTCAGGGAGTTTACAGACCAATGTGTGATTTACATAGTCACCAAATGATGACCTCTCCTAACGTGTGAGTGCAAACTGAGATAAGACCTCTTAAAAGAAAGGGACCTGGTTCCACCAGAACATATTAAAAATAACCTCCCGTACTGTGGGGTTAGACAAGGCTTCACATCACGTCTTGGTTCTTATTTATCTGGTTTATTCCGCTATCCTTTGGGCAAGTTTAGTGCGAATTACATGTTCTCTCTTCCCCAACCCCCTACAGATAGTAAATGACTCACTCGTCTGTGGGTGCACTTTTCATATGCAAACCCACCAATCCAGAGCCCATACCCTCAACCACCACCTGCATCAAGTTCTTGCACCACAGGCCACTGTTCCCCCATCTTAATCAGCCCAGGGCCAGGTACCAGACAAGCAGAGACAGCCCGTATGCCCCGAGCCCACTAAAAGGATTCCAACTAGCCAGGGAAGCCTGCTGACCCTGTCTTACCCATTCCTTTCTGTGGAAACCACCGTACAGGCTCTCCCCACATTTTCCTCCCACTGTCTTGGCCTCCTCACCGGCCCTGGTGCTTCCCCATGTGGCCACCTGTGGCATGGCATGGCCCTTTCTCTCGGGACCTGTGAGTATAACAAACTGTCTTCCCGATGGCAGTTGTCTCCTGATCTACTGGCTCACTATACCTGAATAATAATGAAACCTACATTTTAAAACACACCCATCCTTGCACTGGTTTGTAAACAAAGGAAAAACTAAGGGGATTTTCCACAGCTCTATTTCCAATCTATTGTTCTGAAGTCTGTTTACATTTGAGCACGTGCTTTAGAAACGGGGAGGCTGGTGAAGAACTGATCCTCGGCAGTAAATTCCACCAAAGCCCAGAGACTAACGCTTATGATGGAGTGACACTAGTCCTCATCTAATCACTCTGTAAATTCTTCTGAGCCACCACTGCAGTCTATGCTACATTTACCAAAAGCCAGTTCCCCATCACCTCTCCTTAATCATTTTCCATTCTCCTTATCCACGTGGGTTTATGCTAAGCCAAGGATCTGATGTTTCTTTGACATCGATGAATTTAAAACAGGCCATCTTGGATGGGCTCATTCTCCCTAGCAAATGCCTCGACTGGATAAATTTGTTAAGAACGACTAGAATATTCTCTTTTATTTTTTGCACACACAAATATATGCATTTACTTTTTTATTCATGAAAATATTTTCACTGTAAATAATTCAAGAAATCCAGGGAAAACAAAGTCCTTTTTCACCTGCCTTCCTCCATAGACCCAACTCACCAAATCTCACTACCACCTTCCTTTGATATTTTCATCCTCTCTCTCTGTCTCTCTCTTTCCTTTCCTCCCTCCTTCTTTTCCTCTTTCCCACATATGCACACACCCCTACACTGTATATAAACACAGGCTTTAAAAACATAAATGGAATCACTCCGCTCATATTTTTCTACAAGTCTTGTTTCTCCTCTCATTTATCAATGTGTTTTAGAGATCTTCCCATCAGTGATACAGAAGCCCCTCATTCTTTTGGAGTCCTGCACACCATTACATGGGACACAAGCACCATAATTTACTTAACCATCTGCAACTGAAGGTAAATTAGGTTGTTTCAAATTTGGGGGATACAAACATTGCTACTGTAAATATACTTGTGGTCACCCACCTGAACAGGTATAAGAATTCTTCTACAATATATCACTAGGTGTACAATTTTGGGGTAGGGTATATTTTATGTGTTCCCAGTACTGATGGAAAAAAGAAACTCTTATGTTACATAACTTCTAAGTACTGCTTTTTTCTTCAAAAAAGTGAATAAATGGGGGGGGGGGGAAGCAATTATTGATGCTACAGCAAGTCATTTGGTTCTACTCAGAGTACCACAGCAAGGAATTGTTCAGTTTTTTCTCTGGAATAATCTATCTCTGTTGAATTCTCTGCTCAATGGCCTTTAAATTACATTCTGTAGTGGACAGAATTTTGAAGGAGGAAAAACAATTGAGAAATGATGAAGCTTTCAGTAGCTTACTGAAGAGTCTTATACCTTCACAGTTATTAAAATAATCAACTTGTAAGTAAAATCTCTGGCTTTTATCCCTTTAAAATTTTACAACTCTAGTGAAAGCGAGTGAAGGCTAGAAATCTACATGTGACAAATGGAATGAGCCTTGAGAAACTAGACCATACCTCCACTTCCCATCTGACTCTATGAACGATGAGGATTATCAATATGACGCAACAACTACAGCCTAGAAGGACCCAACATAAAACAATCAACCCACAATTACCCTAACCTCAGAGAAAATGCTTTCTTTTTTTTTAAGATGAAGAGACTTTCAAAATTAAATTTATACATATAATATATAAAAGAGGAGAAAGGAGAGCGAGGATTTGAAGCAGTGGGATAAACCTAGAGGTCTTCCATTTTGAAAGATCAGATGGAAAATGCTAGTTGATCTTTTATTTCATAAGGAAATTAATGAGAAAAGCAACAAGGCTGTCCATCTAAATGCTATGTTGAAAAAAGAAGGGAAAGTAAAAAAGAATGCAACTCTAAATGTCTAGTTTCAGACAAAATGGTATGAGAAACATATTCAAGAAGAAGTCATCTTAATCTAGAAGCAATTTATATAAGCACCCAACACTATGC